ATTTCATAACAATTCAATGAATTTATTTTCTGCATGCTATTACAATCATAACTAGGTAATAATCAACAATTGTGAAACGCAGCATGACCGGATTGCACAACCACGATCATTTGCTACTAAGCAATGTAATTGTGTGTTTTTTTATTTGAAACTTCTTTTAGAATATACTTTCAGTACTAATAAAATGAAAAAAATAATTGTATTTGGCGCACAAGGTTCGTTAATGGGATTTTTTTGGAGAAAGATGCGCTGGGTGACATTGTAATAAATTTGTAGGCAGTCTATTTTATAATCCAGCAAGAAAAAAATGTATCAAATTTTAGATTAGCTTCTGCAATACTTTATTTCGTTTTTGGTGGTTCAGCTGCTGGCGTTGAAAGTCGGCGAAGGTGGATTTTTCAATTTCATAATTTTGTTAATTTTTTTTGTAATTTACATAAATGCATGCACTACTAATAGAGTAAATATGGTATATAATACTATAAACTGCAAACTAATCAGATTTGCAGTTGCATTTATCATTGTATTAAAACCAATTCCATCATGTAATAAAATGATTCTATACTTGTACAGCATGTAGTATTTCGGTTAATCAGATTAGGACCATCTCTTGGATATACCAGCATTCTCGCAAATCAAAAGATGCAGAAACATAAATAGCTTTTCCATCTATTGTATTGAACACAAATTAATAATTGATGAGTTATCTTTTCAAAGGTATTCACTAAGATTTGAGTTGTTATAAAATATCAATAGGTTGTATAGAGCTATTTGTAGTGATTGTTAATAACATGTCTGTACATAGAGGTCTATTATATTTGATCATCCCTTCTAAGCCTAATTCTCAGGATTACAACTGAATCCTAATCCTTACAAAGGCTTATATTTTTTTCACTTTAGTGACATTAAAAGCAAGTTTATCATTGTATTAGTGACCTAATTTGTTGGTACATGTATCAATTGACTGTGCAGACATAGTGTGAAAAAGTAAAAAAAATATATCTACTTTTATAAAATTTTTAGTTCATAGAGAACTCACTAAAATCTGAACTGCATTTTTCTGAAGACTTTACATTATATGCAGAATGATTACAAGTTTGAATATTTCATCAGTGATTTGACAATCAAATTAAACTTGATGGGGAATACATTTGCCCACCCCTATAATTAATAGAATAACCCATATTGAGCATTAACATATACGTCACATTAGCATAGTATTATATATGCAAGAGCTACATTTTTGTACCAGTCTATATTACCAAATCCAATCACTGCTGTCACTCTATTTGAGATCTATACCTCTATAGATTCAGTCTCTGCTCTCTGCTTCTCTCAACAAATTGTAAGTATTGTACATACATGTATGTCTAAATCCAGTTAGTGTATTTGCTCTACTAGTACCGGTAGCCCATGTGCTCACTTTATTTTTTTGAAATGTTCCTATTTTTGAAAAAAGTTGTATTTTAATGAGACAATATATATTGAATGTAATGTTAGGTTTATATGAAATTCTATTGGAGATGTGCTTCTAATAGAACAAATATACCGGTAGATTTATGATAGTTCTCAGTTGTT